AGGAACTTCCGGATGTGGCCTTATTTGGAAATAAGGTCAATGTTAAGATGAAGTCACATTGGATCAGGATAGGCTCTTAATCCAATGACAGGTGTCCTTACAAGAAGAGAAGACAAGGAAGAAGACCATGTGTTGACAGAAGCAGGGATTGGAGTTATGCTGCCACAAGCCAAGGAACACCAAGGACTGCTAGAAGCTACCAAAAGCTAGAAAAAGACAAGGATTCTTCCCTAGAGCCTTTAGAGGGCCAGCCTTTAGAGCAGCGGTTGCCAACCTTTTGGATCTCACAGACCACCAGTGGTCCACGGACCATCGGTTGGCGAGCGCTGCTTTAGAGGGAGAAGGACTGTGCTGACACCTTGCTTGGGACTCCTAGTTTCCAGAACTGTAAGAGAATAAAGTTTTGTTGTAAGAGAATAAAGCCACTGTGGTAATTTGTTGTAGAAGCCCTAGGAAACTAAGCACAGGGGAAATGTACAAGTTAGGGTAAAGAGCTGATGCTGATGGATAGTGAGGTACATTGTGTACTTTTTGCCCCAGAACAAACTGCTAGTGTAAGTAGAAAGGAATGGTGGTTGGCAGGGTGCTGCTGAAAATGGGGCCAGTAGAGTGTTCAATGCAGTGAGTTAGTAGCCAAATAAATATTCCCTAATTATTCAAAGAGAGAAAAGTAATGCCACAAGCATATGCATGTAGAATCACAACTTCAAACATACATGCCAAGACAGAATCTTTCCTTCCATATTCTAAGTGGGAAATGGCAAAGATGAGGATCCAATTTCAGAGGAAGAAAGACTAAAATAAAAAACTGAGGTTCTACTTTAGTTATGCAGCCCTTAACTGAATCTCTCTCTCTCTCTCTCTCTCTCTCTCTCTCTCTCTCTCTCTCTCTCTCTCTCTCTCTCTCTCTCTCTCTCTCTCAAATATATTTTCAATTGCTTTTTTTACAGAGAGGAAGGGAGAGGGATAGAGAGTTAGAAAAATCGATCAGCTGCCTCCTGCACAACCCCTACTGGGGATGTACCCACAACTAAGGTACATGCTCTTGACTGGAATTGAACGTGGGACCCTATAGTCGGCAGGCTCTATCCACTGAGTCAAATCAGTTAGATCTCTGTCTCTCTTTTTAAAATGGTTTTTATTGATTTCAGAGAGAGGAAGGGAGAGGGAAAGAGAAAGAAACATTAATGATGAGAGAGAAACATCAATGATGAGAGAGAAACATCAATGATGAGAATCATTGATCGGCTGCCTCCTGCATGCCCCCTACTGGGGATCAAGCCTGAAACTCTGGCATTTGCCCTGACAGGGAATCAAATTGTGACCTAATGGTTGATAGGTTGATGCTAAGCCAGTGAGTCACACCAGTTACTTTTCAATCCTGTTATTTTATAATTTAGCATATATAATTTAAAATATATTGTTCATATTATAGTTTTTTAAAAAGTAGTGGCCTGCTGATGCTCTGTCTCTCTCTAAATATGCATAAAGAGGGGAGTCGGTGCCAGCTGCTGGGGGAAGAAGGCCTACACTTGCATGAATTTCATGCACCGGGTCTCTAGTAAAAATATATTAAAAAATAAATAAAATAGCTGAAACCGGTTTGGCTCAGTGGTAGAGCGTCGGTCTGCGGACTGAAAGGTCCCAGGTTCGATTCCGGTCAAGGGCATGTACATTGATTGCAGGCACATCCCCAGTAGAGGGTGTGCAAGAGGCAGCTGGTCGATGTTTCTCTTTCATCGGCGTTTCTAGCTATCTCTCTCCCTTCCTCTCTGTAAAAAATCAATAAAATATATTAAAAAAATAAAATAAAATAAAAGGCAGAGTCCTTGTTATAACCTGTTCCAAATGTATGTGACCCAGATTAAATGACAACAGTAATAGTACAGTAATCAATTTGAAGCTTAATTATGAAATAATGGATTACTTTTCAACACTAAAGTTAACATATTTATTTCTTTCTAAATCAGGCTTAGAAAGAAGAACCATTTTTTCTTTCCCAAATTATTTAGAATGGTTGATTATACCTTCTAGTTTATACCAAGTACTGAATGACACTCCCAGAGCTCTAATAAGTGAGAAAAACTCACAGATATTCCATCAATCCACTGACATGTATTAGAGGTAAGGTGATATAATAGAAATAGCAAAGGCAGCTACAGCAGTTGAAAATGACCCAAAACAAGTGGATCATGGGGGCTGAATCTCTCTTTTCTCCTTGGAAGCCCTTCTGGAGCAGATCTAATTCAGAGGCTGCAAACTACTGTGTGGATTCTTAGAGAAGTGCTGAATGAACCACATAGGTTTTTACAATATTTGTTTTAAATTTCTATTGTTGAGTAGAAATTATTTGGCTTCTTTTTTATTTTGGGTATTTAATCTGTCTCCCCACACACACATAACTACCTGAGACTATAGAAACCATAGCTATTTCTGAACCCAGAGCAAATTCTAACAATAAATTATAAATTTTCAGACCAAATGTTGTATAGAAACCATCATTTCAAACATATACGTAATGGCATTACCTACCAGAACTAAGAAGCCCTAACTCAGAAAAACACAAGCGGAAGGTAGTTATTTGCCTCATTCTGAATGTGGCTCCATGGATGTCACCTTCAAGAAATTGCATAAAGCTGGTAGAACACCATATGCCTTTCCTCAGCACAAATGACCACATCCTGTGCCAGGCAGCATTTTTCAGTCTCTGTGGTTAAGAACTAGTACAAATTAAAGTATAGCTAGGCAGAGCTGGAATGTTAGTTGAAGCTGTGATTTGAATCTCAGAAGTTTTAGACATAGGACTCTATTACTTGATCCTGTAAATATCTAAGACAAAAGATCCCAAGAAACATTTTTTTCTTTTTTCCTTTAAGAAACACATATACAGCCTGACTGATGTGGCTCAGTTGTTGAGCATCAACCTATGAACCAGGAGGACTCATGGGTCAAGGCCAATAGCCTGGCCAATTGTCTGGCCATATGGCTATGCGGAAGGACAACAGAAACTTGGTCTATTAAAGGATGCCCATATGGGGCACTGCCTTATGGACATCACTATGGGAATACAATGGGTGCATTAAAGTAGGGCATGTCAATACCCATCAGAAGAACCCTCTTCCAGGTTTGAAAAGGTGACTAGAACCAATGAGTGCATATTGCAATGTACTTGCTTAAGGTGGCCACTTGGGTCCATGAAATAAGTGGGCATTTGAGGACCACAGGAATGAAGAGAGGTGAATCTGGACATATTCCTTTTTTTACCCTCTGAGGCTCAGAATGCCAACCAAACTGTTCTGTCTTTTAACAAGTGACACAGAGGTTGCAGATGACTATGGGTAAGATTCCTCAGGAAGAAGGCCCGACACATAGCTGACAAGTGGATTATAAGAACCAATGGCAGTAGCCGCAAAAGGGCTACATATGGGTTTTTTACAAAATAAGCATTGACTCTGGATTAGACTTAGCTTACCTGGAGATAGATGCAAATGGTCAGAGTACTAAAAAAGAACTAAAACAGGAGCCATTATACCAATTTGGACTGCCAAGTCATATTTCTTCAGACCAAGGCATACATTTTCTAGCCCATAATGTCAACCAATGGCAGAGAGGTAGCATGCTCATAATAATATTTTCATAGAGAATTGGAACTGACATCTGGAACATTGATTTTTTAAGATCTCCTGAAGTGCTGAGGTATCTTACCTCATCCTTAGCTCAGAATGTCATATATACCTCATTTTCCCTTTTTGTCTCTGAACCTCTCATAATGTGAGATCTCTGACATTCTCATGTATGTGGGTTCCCCATACAGATGAAAGTAATTAGATTTGGTTATTTTCTCTGGTTAACCTGCCTCCTGTAGGTTTAATTATTAGAAGAGCTGAAAGAACCCTGAAGGCTAGAGGCAAATTTCTTCCTTCCCTATACCAGGATCTCTTGACCTTTATGATCCTTTTTCTATAAGAGATTCATTGTCAAACACCAGAGGGTGTCCTGTGGTATAATACAAAAATATATTTGGTCTTAGTCTCAGATTCCTAGCACAGAATTACTAAAACCCTTGCAATTTTCTGTGTGATAGTATATTTTATTATTCCTAACAAATCCCTTTCACTCACACCTGAGTTTATGCTACTGAGGTGACTTAGGGTGGAGACCCTAAATTGCCTCAGTATGGGGTAGTCACTAGAAAGACCAAGTGACTAGGAAATTGGAACTTTCAGCCCCATCCACCAACCACCAGCAAGAGTAGAAGGGACTATAGATTGAGCACTATAAAAACTATTGAACAATGAGATTCAGAGAGCTTCTGGGTTGGTGAACACATCAGAGTTGTGGGAGTCTTATGCCCTGAGGGCATGGAAACTCTCACACCATATCCTGCTTTAGCATCTCTTCCATTTGCCTGTTCCTGTGTTATATCCTTTATAATAAACTAGCTGTAGTAAGAAAGGTGCTTTCTTAAGTTCTGCGAGTCGTTCTAGCAACTTATCAAACCTGAGGGAGGTTTGTGAAAAGCCCTGAATTGGTGGCCAATTGGAATTAGTGCAGGTAACCAGGGGGCCTGGTACTTACAACTCGCGTCTGAAGTCAGAGCAGTGCTGTGACACTGATCCCTCAATCTGGGGGCTCAGCATTAACTCCAGGAGTCAGAATGATAATTGAATTGTTGGTTTCCCAGTTGGTGTCTAAGATTTGAAGCATTGGTTGCTGGTGTTGGAAAACACTCCAGACAAATCTTTCTATAATGAACATGTATTGTTTTTATAGTAAAAAGGAGTAAAAGTAACATTTTAAAAAGTTAGTATAACTTGAATACTAAATACTTAAAATTCTCAAAATTTGCTGATAACCTATATAGCAAATTATTAAATGCAAATACTTGTAAACTAAATCAATCCACAAATACAAGTTTTCCTTGGAGAATTCCTCATTTTTCTTTATATTAGGTCTTAACCATATCTACAACCATTAGTTGTCTGTACACTATGGCTCACCTTCCATATCTTCATCTTCATTGGTTGGGCATTCTGCACTGTCCACATTTTCTGCCTCACGAGGTTTGGTTAAATTGTAGTCATTTAAAATCACTGGACCTTCTAGGAGATAAAAAGAATTTTAACTATGCAGTCAACTTAAACAATTTTTTGTAAACATGTAAACATGAAACAAGATTCTAATCTCAGCTTCACACAGATCCTTAGTGATAGTGTCCCTTTCACACATGCTGTAGGTGAAACATGTGAAAACTCGTGAGGTTTAGAAATGTATCCAGGGTTCATGCACGTTTCCATTAAACATGATTTTCTTGAATATTTTTTTCACCTGAGTTAAAATGAACTCAGGTTCTTTCTGTATAGAAATTCTCTCTCCTTTGGGATATCTCACAATATCTGGTAGGATGTTATTGCTAGTTATGACCGATAAGTATTGATACATAGTGATGAGAAATATTTAGCCTGAAAATATTAATATAACCCAATTTTGGAAAGATGCTTTCCTTAGAGTAAGCTTCCTATTTTCCTTTTCTGTTCACATTATAAATGTAATTATGTGGAGCCAGAACAGTGTGGTTCAATGGTTGAGCATCAACCTATGAACTGGAGGTCAATTCCAGGTCAGGGCACATGCCCAGGTTGGGGCTTAATCCCCAGTAGAGGGCGTGCAGGAGGCAGCCAATCAATGATTCCCATCAGTGATGTTTCTCTCTTCCTCTCTAAAATCAATAAAAATATATCAAAAAGAAAAAAGAATCAGCCCAGCAAATAACAAAATTCCTACATGAAAACAAATGTGATAAACAGGATCAAAACTCACCCTAAAAAAGAACACTCACAGGAAAATTGGGGCCAACTCACAGTAACACAAAAAGGCATTTAAGTGATAATTTTTTTAATGCAACATAAGCTTTGATTTAAAAAGTGAGTTAATCAACACAGAAAACATAGGAGTTATTTGGGGAAAATAAATTATTTTAAATGTTTAAAGTTCATTCTGAAGCAGGGGTCAGCAAACTCTGGCCCAAGGGCCAAATCTAACCATGGCCTGTCTTTGTATGGGCTCAGGAGGTAGAATGGCTTTTACATTTTTTAAAGGGTTGTAAAAAATATAAAGAGGTTTCTGCAATAGAGGCCAGATGTGGCCCAGAAAATCTAAAGTATTTATTATCTGCCCTTTACAAAAAAAGTTTGCTGATCAGTGTTCTAGAGTGAAAAGCTCAAGTTGTTCAAATAGAAGCTACTATATTACTCAACAAAAACTGTCTTTCTTCAAGCGAATCAGTAGGTGGGGTATGGTTTGGTCCTAAAATACCAAAGAACTTATATTATCTAAATTGATGAGTTGTTTTTGTAACAGGAAGAGACAACCATATTTTTCTTCCTCAACACATTTCCATAGCATTTTTACTGCAATCAGAATGTTCCTCTTTCTTTGGTAATTTCAGTAAAGTTCTATTTCTAGACAGGAAAGAACTGATGCTGCTTTACCTGTAGGCACAGACTGCTCCTGACTGCTTTTCAGTTCCACATTTGGTTTTATATCTGAAAAAGTATATATAATAAATATTAGCTGCTTAGAGAAAATTTTTTCATATTTGAGAATCCTAAAATTTAATAAAGATACCATTTTGGAACCTTTAGCAGTAGATTTCCTCTTCAGAGCACTGTCAACCCAGAATTTTATTTCTCTATGTCCTCCTTAAAAAGTGCCTCTGGGAGTATAAAAGGTGTTAGCTGCACAGCAATGGTATTTTACAGAGATGAAGACCGCTGGCCGGTGTGGCTCAGTTGATTGGAAGTAGTGGGTGTGATTTCCAGTCAGGGCACATATCTAGCTTGCAGGTTGGGCACATGAGGGAGGCAATCCATTGATGTTTCTCTCTTTCTCTCTCCCTTCCTTCCTCTCTAAAATAATTTATTTTAAAAAGAAGGAAAGAACTTGCTACATACTTGTCTTTTAAAAAGAGAGAGATTAAGAAGAAAAATTAGTGCTTTGTATTTACCCACATACTTAATATGTCTGGTGCTTTTGATTTTTTTTTTTTTTCCATGAAGACATGAGCTCCCTTCTGTGGAACTCAGTCTAAAAAACTTCCTTTAGCCCTCACCAGTTTGGTTCAGTGGATAAAGCACCGGCCTACAGACTAAAGGGTTGGATTCCAGTCAAGGACGTGTGCCCAAGTTGCAGGCTTGATCCCCAAGTTGTGGGTGAGCAGGAGACAACCAATCAATGATTCTCTCTTATTGATGTTTCTATCTCTCTCTCCCTCTCCCTTCTTCTCTGAAACCAATAAAAATATATTTTAAAAAGTAATAAAAAAAATAATTTCCTTTTGCATTTTTAGTGGTGCCACTGCGTGAATGACAACTTAGTTTTAATTTATTTGGAAATATTTTTATTTTGGCTTCAATTCTAAAGGATATTCTTACTTGATATAGAATTCTGGGTTGACAGTTCTCATTTAGCACTTTAAAAATGGCATTCTACTGTCTTCTAGCCTCTACTGTTTCTGATAAATTAGTGATAACATTTACATATTACTAGAGGCCCAGTGTACACATTTATGAACCCATCCTCTGGGTAGCCTGCAGGATCAGGCTGAAATCTGCAGTCCAACACCACTTACAGCTCCTACCCGCTCATCCAAGTCCTACTGTGCCTGCCATGAGTTCATGCCCCATCAGTTCCAAATGGGAGAGGCTCGCCCTGCATCTGGTGCCCTCCCAAAGGGAGTGGCCTGCGTGATAGGGCTGAAACCGGCTCTCTGACATCCCCCAAAGGGTCCTGGATTGTGAGAGGGTGCAGGCCAGGCTGAGGGACCCCACCGGTTCATGATCAGGCTGGGGAGGAACTGTGGGAGGGCTCCAGGGCATGTCCGGCCCATCTGTCCTGATCAGCCAGACTCCAGCAGCAAGTTAACCTAGCCGTCAGAGCTTCTACCCCCTGGTGGTGAGTGCATATCATAGTGAGCAGTTGAGCAGCCTTAGCATATCATTAGCATATTACGCTTTGATTGGTTGTTCGGTTGTTCTGCTGTTCAGTCTATTTGCATAATACACTTTTATTATATAGGCCCTGTGCATGAAATTTGTGTATGGAGGGAAGGGATTATCCCTCAGCCCAGCCTGCACCCTCTCCAATCTGGGACCCTTGTGGGATCGGGCCTAAACCAGCAGTTGGACATCCCTCTTGCAATCTGGGATCGCTGGCTCCTTACTGCTCACCTGCCTGCCTGATTGCCCCAACCACTCTGCCTGCTGGCCTGATCACCCCCAACTTCCCCCCCCACATCCTGATTGCCCCCCAGCTGGCCTACTCATCCCAACTGCCCCCCTGCCAGCCTGCTCACCTCCAACTGCTCTCCCCTGCCAGCCTGATCGCCCCTAACCGCCTCTGCCTTGGCCTTGCCACCATGGCTTTGTCCAGGAGGTCTCCTGGTTTTATTAGTATAGATTCTTTTTCTTGAATACTTTCAAGATTTTCTCTTTTTTCTCTTTATTTTTGGCTTGATATGCCCAGATAGATTTTATGTGAATTTATCCCATTTGAGTTCATTGAAATTATCTGTAAAATTATGTTTTTCACCAAACTTGAGGAAATTTTGGACATCATTTCTAAAAATTTTCCTCCTCCATTCTCTTGCTCCTTTCCTTTAAGGATTCCAATTGCATATATATGTTAGACTTTTTCATATTTCCCCACAGTTCCCTCAGATTCTATTCTTCTTCCCCCCTCAATATTTTTTATCTCTGTTGTTCAGATTGAATACTTTCACTGATATATTAGAGGCCCGGTGCACAAATTCACGCATGGGTGGGGTCCCTTGGCCTGGCCAGCAATCAGGGCTGTCTCACCTAATCCCAATTGACCCAGACCCAACCAGTGCCACCCTTGTCAAGCCCTTCCAGGCAGGGGGTGTAGCCTCAGATCCCCTGGCCTGGCGCCAGGATGGGGGGCATGGCCTGAGGTCCCCAGCCCAGACTGGGGTGGGGGGCATGCCTTGAGGTGAGAGACATGGCCTGAGATCCCCTTTAAAGGCCTGCTGGGTGGGAGGCATGGCCTGAGGTCCCCTGTCAAGCCCAGCCAGGAGGGTAAGAGAGATAGAAACATCAATGAGGAGAGAGAATCATTGACTGGCTGCCTCCTGCACACCCCCTAACCCTAACCCTAACCCCTAACCCTAACCCTAACCCTCATCCTATCTCATTCTTTAAGAAATATATATTTATTGTTGAAAGTATTACAGTTATCCCCTCCCCCCTCTTCCCCACTGACTCGCTCTAGCCCGCTCCCACTTGCCCCACCCCAGGCCTTCACTACATGTGATATTCCACCAAATATGCATAACATGAATCTAACCATGGAAAAACAAACTAAACTCTAATTGGGGGACAGTTTACAAAATAACTGGCTTGTAATCCTCAAAAGTGTTAAGGTCATGAAAAACTGAGGAACTGTTTCAGGCTGAAAGAGAGTGAAGAGTTATGACAACTAAATACAGAGTTGAATACTCTTGTAGTAAAGGACATTAGAGAAACAACTGGAGAAATCAGAATGGGGTCCAAAGATTAAATAGTAGTAATATATCTATGTTAATTTCCTGATTTTGATAGTTGTTTTGTAGAAGGTGGAACATACATACTAAAGTATTCAAGGGTATCATATCAGCAACTTACTCTAAAAATTTCCAGAAAAAACAGGGTTTTTTTTGTATAGTATTGCAACTTTTCTATAAGTTTGATAGTGTTGTGAAACTTTTAATTGCATACTAAGGGGATTCTTAACAGAAAAAAAAGGAAAGAAACCTAGTTCAAAGGTTTCACATGAGCAACCTTCATGTGAAAACATCTTCTAGTTGCTACAAAGATGGCTTTTGATTTGGTGACCTAAAGGAAAAAGGTCCTGGTCCCCTGAACCTTTTAAACCCTCTGACAATGACATTTAAATAACTCTCAATATTTTTTCAAGAGGCCTTTGTGTGCTGTAAATAACATTAGAAATAACTGAGTAGTTTGTAATAGAAGATTCTGACTCTTATTGAATAGTATTCAGAATTTTAAGGAGACATTAAACCATGCATAATCAGGAGCATGGATGTTCTTCTTAGGTGCTAAAAAAATACTTAAAACACAAGGACAAAATAGATTGAAGTACACTTTCGCCCCCTGAAATTAAGGTCTTTATAAAAACATGAAGTCATAGGTAGATGGTAAAGGAATTCCCAACTGTTAAATATGTCTAAAACTTTTCCATTTTTAATGGACCGTTTTGTAATTTCTTATACTTCAGTTAAAAAAAAAGCTAAAAAAAATTCCATTTAGTGGAATATACTGGTGTTTTTCAATGTGTTGTCAGTCAATATAGCTTTAAAATATTTAAAAGAACATTCTAGAAAACTAAGAAAGAAGGGACCATATATTGCTTTTCACAGAAATACAGTTTTCTTTACTGATGTTTATACATATCCGGTACAGATGATGGAAGAATTTCAAAATAGGTTAATTTCATTGAAAAACAATATTGTCTATAACTCTCCTGTTACTTGAATAGGCAAAGCATGCTCCTGCCTCAGGACTTTTGTACTTACCTTCCCCTCTGAGCAGAATGCTCTTCCCCAGCTAGCTACCTGGCCACTTCCCATCTTCATTCAGGTGTTGTATGCTCAAAAGTCACCTTACCAAATATGCTTTACATAAATACCCTAAATAAAATGTCACCCTCCATTGTCACTTTGTTTTCTCTTACCTTGCTTTATTTTTCTTCATAAATTTATTTATTGTCAACACCTGACATATTTTTGGCCATTTTTGTTTTTATTTGCCTCCCAACACCAGAATGTAAGGTCCATGAGAACAGAGATGGTATGTGCATTTTTTTCTTGCTATTTTGCTGTGTCTTTAACTCCCAAAATAGTGCCTACTCATGATGGACATGAATTTTTACATCTCTTAATCCTTATGAACACTCTAGACTCTAGAGTAAGGTTCTGCAAACTACAACTTACCACTTGTCTTTGTGTGGCCTGTGAATTAAGAATGGTTTTTTAATATTTTTAAGTGGTTAGAAAAATAATGAGAATATTATTTTGTGCCACTTGAAAACTATGTAAAGGTCTATATCATTGCCCATAAAGTTCTATTGTAAATACAGACAAACCCAATCACTTACATATTGTCCAGTGCTGCTTTCATAGTCCAACAGCAAAGTTGAGTAGTTGCAACACAGACTATATGACTTACAAAGCTTAAAACATTCACTATCTGATCCTTTACAGAAAAAGTTTGCCAAATTCTAGATCTATTACTAATACTAATCTAATAGTAATACTTTACTGTCTAACAAAGTAGTTACTAGGCACTTGTATTTAAGTTTAAATTTAAATTAATTAAAATTTAAAATGTAGCTTTTCAGTCACACCAGCTACATTTCAGGTATTCAAAGAACATGTCGCTAGTGGTTACTCAATTGTACAACAAAAAGAACATTTCTATCACCTCAGAAAGTTATACCAAATAGCACTGTTTTAGAATATCTCACTGCT